AAAACTGGAAAATATGGAAAATATCCAGAATTTTTCAGAAAATTCTAACATTAGATGCAATAATTAAACTGAATTTCAATGTTTTATTGGACCAAACATTTAGTGCATAATTGTGCGCAAGATTTTACATTTAACTTTTATCAATTGTAGTTTAATCTAAATGTGTCTGGTACAAATATCTGTTAATTACTTGACAAGGATTATAAAAACTTTATAGAGAATTGGTGATATATGGCAATTAGAAATACCTTGGTTATCATTGGGTTTGGGTGTCAATGGGGACACCGTGTATTCGGTGGACGTGTCGATAATATGTTGATCTGTAATATGATTTTATTAATTAATTTTGATGATAAGTCCAGAAACATAATATATTTGTATTTTACATGTTTTATTAAATAAAGGTCTAATTGCTTATAAAAGTGATCGCAAGTTACTATCAAGTTAATTATTAATTAAATTGTGATATGTCACTGGTACATTACCTTTAACATCGGTGTCCTTACGTTTAATGGCAACGTCGTCCGCACTGATGGTCACCGATATAATGATTATAGATATGGCCAACAAATAAGATATTTCCAGCATTATAACAAATTTGATGTCATAATGAAAGTATGATTTATAAAAAATACAATTAAATATTTAAAAAGACTAATAATTTTATTTTAATAACTCGTATTATGTTTTAACTACAAAAACCTGTTATTTTTGGCGCCTTTTGTAACACTCGAACCCACATTAAGATTCAAATCAATACTTTCTATTTCATTATCGAGAATATCTAAAAATAACGGAAAGTTTATATTAATATTTATTCATTGATTTTTACATTGAAATCAAACCCAAATGTTTAGCACTGATAACCAATTCTGTTATAATACATATGAATACAAGTAATTTCATAATTGTATTCATTTTGATAAGAATTCACTTCCAAATTATACTAACATAAGTGTACTTGTCACATTCAAAAGTGTGTGAATATTGTGCGTATATGCAAATATTCTTCATTTGAATTATATTTTATGAGCAAAATGTATTAATCTGTTGTTTCGTACCTGAAATCAGTGTTGACTTTGGCAAACAAATTGTTTGAGTTTATTGCACCTGGATGTTTGTTAATCCTAATCCTATGCAATCTATAAAACACACAATGATTTCTTAGTTAACCCTTTGGATGACCCTTTAATGATAGTTGTAATTGTCTTATAAGTATCAAACAAAAAACAGTAAAATGATAATATATTTTGTTATTTACATAGATAAATTATAAATTAATTCTATAAAGACATTGACACTAAAAGTAGATAAAATTATGAACAAAACCAATAAATATAATAATTAAAACAAATGAAGTTCTCGTTGTATATATATAATCAATATATTCTGTATTAAACTCTATTTGGTTTGTCATTGAATACTGAGATATATTTTATTGAATATAAAACTCTTATAAAATTAAAATAAAAGCAAATATTAATGTGAAGGGCAATAGATTAATGTATTCATAACTATATAACTAATATTCCAATCATAAAACATAATAAACATAATTATTGCGAAAAAAGTTATTTGAAATATTTTTTATAAATTGGTTTTTAAAAGTTTTATAAAAATAAAAATTGTGTTCAAACTTGATTATAGATAAGTAAATATTCTGTTTATTACACACACATTAAAAGCCTATTTAAGTGTTTGATATATATGTTGGAAATATCTGTTCAAAACTCTTACTCTCAAAGATAACACCAAAAAAGCTTTATTTTTGTTGACTGACCTAGATATACTGTTTGTGTTATATTTTAAAATAAGTGAAGCTACTACAGTATTTCTGTGGCAAAAGTATGAATTGTGAATTATTAAGACATTTAGCTATCATTTACATACTCTACATATTAGGAGGTATTCATGCATTTTATTTGTTTTTTACAGAATTTATCTCAAATTCTGGTTTTCTTAAAATTATTATTTTTGAACTCATTATGAATGCAATGATATAATACTTGTCTATAATTTGTAACTCCAATGAAGTGTCAGCACAGAAGACATGTATTCACAAAGACATCCCAAACTCAGACTGGGTTTGTGTCTGTAATAACACATATTGTGATGAATTGCCACCCATTTCACGGCCAACAGCGCCGGGAGTTGTATTAGTCTACGAGAGCAACAAATCCGGCGATCGGTTTAAGAGAAATGAACTGAATGTGAATACAAAGGTGTCATACAATGGCACCAAACGGCAGACCATTACTATTGATGAGACGCTGCACTACCAGAAGATATATGGTTTCGGGGGTGCCTTCACAGACACCACAGGAATGCTATTGAATTCAATTAACTACTCGTTGGCCATCAATATAATCGACGGCTATTTCTCGGGTAATGGTATTGAGTACTCGTTCGGAAGGGTTCCCATCTCTGGCACCGACTATTCTGTGCGNTATTGTGATGAATTGCCACCCATTTCACGGCCAACAGCGCCGGGAGTTGTATTAGTCTACGAGAGCAACAAATCCGGCGATCGGTTTAAGAGAAGTGAACTGAATGTCAATACAAAGGTGTCATACAATGGCACCAAACGGCAGACCATTACTATTGATGAGACGCTGCACTACCAGAAGATATATGGTTTCGGGGGTGCCTTCACAGACACCACAGGAATGCTATTGAATTCAATTAACTACTCGTTGGCCATCAATATAATCGACGGCTATTTCTCGGGTAATGGTATTGAGTACTCGTTCGGAAGGGTTCCCATCTCTGGCACCGACTATTCTGTGCGCCCCTACACTTACGATGACTTTGCAAACGACACCGATTTGACTCGTTTTTCATTGCAATACGAGGATTACGTCTGGAAGGTATGGTTTGACACTAAATCAGTAGTTTATTTAATTCAGTATTTTATATTAGTTTTCATAACTTAAATATCGTATGATGTTTGAGATTAAATGCTTTTATAAGTTACTTTATTAGTAAAATACAAAATTTCAAAATTCAAAAGTAAATTATATTAACTCTGGAGAATTTTTAAAGTTTATCCAATATAAGAGATTTTACTTAAACTTGTTAACATCCACTATATAGCTTTGAACAATTCATTTTATTATTTATTAAATATCATAGAAGTAACATGTGCTTTATCACATGCTAATTGTTGAGCAATTAAATTACACATAAATATGTGAAATTCTAGTAAAAATATATTTACAAATAAGTAGATAAAAATGTTTATTTATAAAAAATAGTATGATTTTGAATAACACTTTCTCTAAGCTTTGATTAACTAAAAACAAACTAAAATAATACTTGATTTGAGAGACTATATGTTATTTACCATTGATAACAGTTCTTGCAGTGAAAGTTTTACATGTGATTTACGACAGTATAAAGTAAATGGAAAATGGGTTATGAATACAAGTTATACATAATGTTTGTCCAATAGATACCATACATTAAATTAGCCCAAAAGGCGAGTCCCCATCGCATCAAACTGATCGCCACCTCTTGGAGCCCTCCCTCTTGGATGAAGACCACGGAAAGGATCAAAGTATTCGCTCCTCTAAAAGGACAACCGGGCGGACAGTACTACCAAATTCTGGCCAATTATTTAGTAAAGTTTGTATTTATATTGAAAATACAGTCATAAACACAGCTATTAATAGGAGCTTGATATGTAGCGTAATATTTAAATATATTTGTATGAAATAGATTTCTAGAGGCGTACCGAGAGAATGGGGTCACATTATGGGGCCTAACCGTGCAAAATGAGCCAGTTCAGGACCACGGCATCAATGGACTCAATATGTCGGCCGAACAGGAAAGGGATTTCATAAAATTACATTTAGGACCGACACTACAGAGGGCCGGCTATGGTAGGGATAAACTAAAACTATTGATGTTTGACGACACGTCCCCTCATTTGCGCGAATACGTGGACACGATTCTCGTGGACAGGGAGTCCGCCAAATATATATCGGGAATAGCGATGCACTGGTACTACAACCAAATGATGGGTCCCTTTCCCGACTTACTACTGGACTATATTTACCAGAATTATCCGGAATTCTTTGTCATCAATACAGAGGCCTGTAGTCTGACGGGTGCTATGAATGGGAACTGGATTTACGCCGAGAACTATGCCTTTGATATCATTAGAGTATTCATTAGTTTTTTTGAGTAGACTTTCCTTTCATTAGAAAAATATATTTATTTTGTATTTTTGGTGAGAATTATGTTTTAAAACGAGTTTTTGGTTTAATATCACAGGATATGAACCATTGGGTGAGGGGTTGGTTGGAGTGGAATATGGCTCTGGATATGAGGGGAGGGCCCACTTGGATGCCTAAACACGGTTGCGGTGGACCCGTGTATGTGGATGTAGGGGCTGGTGAGGCGTACAAGCAGCCCACGTACTATGCCCTTGCTCACTTCGCCAAATTCATTTCACCCGATTCTGTGCGCATAAGCCATACATTGAGCGATAGGTCAGTGAAAGGGTTGTCCGTATTGACTGCCAAACGGGTGGACAATGGAGTGGTAGTGACGGCACTGAACAGTGCGGACGAAGACATAGTATTACATATGAATGACACGACAAGTGGCCAACACTTCCAACACATAATTACCGCACATTCCATACAATCGTATATTTGGTGGCATTGAATGCAATATATGTTATGTTTTTATGTTAATTATGTTTATAAATAGTTTATTAAAAAGTTTAAATTTTTACATTCATACAAATAGTTGTGACAAATCCTTATAAAACTAGCAAATAATATAATTTAATAAAATGTATGGTATGGCAGAAAGGGACGACATTTAACTAATTGTGATTACTTTGGGCACGTCTTTCCATTTTTAGGTCACAAATAGTATTTTGATAATAGTTTAATATAAAAAAGCAATTTAAGTCAGGTCTTTTTTCCAGTGGGAAAGCCATGCGAATAAAACGGATACACGCGTCGAATAAGACTCCATCCCCGGCCGCTATAAAAATCATATAGTCTTCGGGAAACAGACTTTCGTAATACAGGCGCCCTTCATATGCCACCAGATTAATGAATTTGGCAATTAATGTATCAGGCATGTATTTCGATAGGGAACTCATATACGATTCATAGGTTCCTGTAATTAATTAAATTATTTTATTAAAATGCAAATTAATGTCAGAATTGATGCTAAAGTGGTATAAAATGAGACCTTTTGTTGGTTTTGATTCTTTATGTTTGATTTGATTATGAGTTTTATTAATGGGTTTCATCTCATGTTTCAATACAATTCTATTGCTTTGTATTTCATTAACAGATATGTCTATAGATTAAGAAATTGTTTTGTATATTAATAAATGATTATAGATTTACATATTCAATACAAACCCAAATGTTTAGCACTAACTGCCACTACTGTTAGAAAACATATGATCACAATTAATTTCATAGTTGTATTCATTTGAATAAGCATTCACTTCATTAACACTTAAAACTGAAATAAACTAAAAGCAATATTTATGATCAATAAACCATTATTTCCTGATTTTAATCCTAATACTAATCCAAATCCACACAAAACTTATTTAATTTGGTATTTGAGGAGAAAATAAAATGTTTTGATTTTGGATTACCTTTTGCCTTGATACTGTATTTAAGCTTAAAACAACATATTTTATTTGATATAATATTACCAATTACAATTTACAATAAATGTTATTGTTTTACAATGAAACTTGAATTAAAAATTATTTCAAGATTATAAGATAGCAATATCATCTGATACCAGTATTTTTGCGAGTATATAATAATACAGAACATGAAATATATTTTGAAATTGATCAAGTTCATTGCATATGGTAAAATGTTTATCATCTCATTCCGATATTTAATTAATGAAAGGTTAGTCATTAGATTGATTTAATACACTATTATCGGCAGATTTTTAGACCAAATAAAACAACAATTGTTTTCAATTCTCTACAATTGAATGACACTTATATTGGAACCGGTATTCATCACTTGTATATAGAATTCATGTTAAACTCTAATAATTAGAGTCTAATTCATATTCTCATACAATATACTCGACTTTATTTGAGTTAAATGTTGTGAAAGTTAATACGGATTTGATTTCAAAATTTATTACTACAAATATGCATTTACATTTAGAAAAGTTTTATTATGCAATGTTGTACCCAAACATGAATTCATATTTAAGATTTAATAAAATTATTAATAAATTGTAGAAAATTAATGATTAAGAAAATTGTAGACAATTATTGCATTTGTAAAGTCTGTCATAAGTTTTCAAAAATTCTGTATATTCTCGACAAACATAACATTTATTAATAATATAATTGTGTTGTTTTCGGGGACTACCAGTACATCAACACTTCAATCATAACTTTACAGATAAGTTATAATCTCTTATCTAATAGCTATCTCTCATCTCTATTGGAAATAAATGTAAGTTTTAAGCACTTATTCGTTAAAAATTGAATTCAATTCATAAAATAAAAGCAAATAAAATGAAAATAAAATGAGAGTAAAGGGTTGTATGGATCGAGGATCGGGAGATGAAAGGGAAGACCATTAACTAATTCTTTTGACGTTTTCTAAGTCTTTCGATTTTGACATTACAACTACTTTGCAGGTAATAGTCATACAACAAAAAGCATATCCCATAGGCTTTCCCACTTTTAGACCCAAACCGATTTCCCATTTGAACACATGCTTCAAACAATAGGTCGTCTCCTGAAGCTATGAATACCATTGGAAAGACATCTTCAAAATAATGGCGCAAATCGTATGCGATGTGATCCAAGAGATGGCCAAAAGTGGTGTTTATGTGTATTTGCGGCAAATATTGGGCCAAAGAGTTGACAATAACTGTAAGAATATTCGCGCGAATGAGACATAAAATGATTGAATTAATGATAAAATAACAACAAAAATATGTGTTTCTCTATAGGAATTAAGTTATATTTAAATATTAACTGTGTATACAAATTGATATATTAATTGAATGAAACATACCTTGGTTATAAGTTGGTTTTGGCGTAAGGGGTGATACGGTGTCTGGAGTAGGAGTAACCTCTGCAACGAGAGGTGTAGTGCCCTCCACGCTAGCCATGTGTTGATTCTCTGAGAATTGATATAAATAATTAAATATAAATTAAAATATTTATGTATTTAAATAGAAATTATGATTATATGAGAAAATATGATAGAAATGTTGCAAACCTTTGATATGCGAGTCCAGAGGGTCACCACTTATTGCACACAAATGGACATAAATGCGAATAAATGTCACGTCAAATGCATTATGAATTTTAATTGAATAGAAAAATATTTATAACAAAAAGAAACAGAGTAAATTATTTAATATAATTCAAATTCAAATTATCAAAAAGTCAACTACTATGAAATTTACTTTTCAATTGTATTAATGAATATAAAATATTAACCTATTTTTGGCACTATTATTAACAAGTGAACCAATGGTATGTTTATGTTGATTATGAATTTGACTGTCACTTCGTTTCTTGAAATCCTTATCAATACCTTGTATTTCATTATCAATTGAATCTGTAAATTGATAACAAGTTTGCTATATTAATATTGTATGCATTTATTAATACAGTATATTCAATACAAACCCATTTGTTTAACACTAACTGTCAAAACATTTGGAAAACATATGAGAACAAGTAATTTGACAATTATATTCATTTTAATAAGCATTCACTTCATTAACATTTAAAACTGAAATAAACTAAAAGCAATAATTTGTGATCAAAAACCATTATTTCCTGATTTTAATCCTAATCCTAATCCATACAAAACTTATTTAATTTGGCATTTAAGGAGGAATTACTATATGTGTTGCGATTTTGGAGTATCTTTTACCTTGATAGTTAAACTTAAGACAACATATTTTACTGGACATAAATAAATAAATGATTTATAAATACAATAAAAACAAGAATTTATATTATTTTTAATATTTAGAAAATATATGATATTTATATATTTCCCTTATGTAATATTTCCCTTTGATTTATATGGAATTGTCCTAAATCCGTTTTGTGCTTAATATATACCAATTGCAATTTACCAAAAATGTTAGTTTAATAATTATTTCAAAATTACAAGATAGCAATATTTTCGGATAGTACCAATTAATAGTTACTTGTATTATACTTTAATAAAAATTTACTATTATTAAAAATATAAATATATACTATATTTGCTTCAATTTCAATTTCATTGAATTTTATGATATTATCATTTATCCCGATATTTAATTAATGAAAAGTTAGTCATTAAATCTCTCTCTCTCTCTCTCTCTCTCTCACTCACTCACTCACTCACTCACACACACACATCAATACACCAATACATTTGTGAAGAGAGTTGTT